GTGTATAACATATGCTGTAATATGTTTACAAGCACACCACAGTGTATAACACATACTGTTATATGTTCACCAGCACACCACAGTGTATAACATATACTGTTATATGTTCACCAGCACACCGCAGTGTATAAAGTATGCTGTTACATGTTCACCAGCACACCAATGTGTATAACATATACTGTTACATGTTCACAAGTGCACCACTGTGTATAATAGATACAATTATATGTTCACCAGCGCACCACAGTGTATAACATACATTATATATTTACCAGCACACTGCTGTGTGTAACATACACATTTGCCCAGCAGTCAAAGAAAATTAATCTTTGCCCCCATTCACACACACATGTGCACATTCACTCCTCTAAACCTTTCTGTGCCCCCTACTACTTACAGCTTAAAGTCTAAAATCCAAAGCCCTCCAAAATCTGTCCACTGTGCCTCTCCCTCCTCATGTCTTGTTACTTCCAGTTTCACATCTTGTGCTACTGTTATTCCAAGTTACTTTTATTTATTTGAACCAGGCACGCATTTCACAGCTCCGTACTATGGCAACATGCAGTAAACATAGGTGACCCTGCCCAAAATGCCCTTTGTCCTGTGGACCCTCACTCATCCTTCAGGCCCCCGTCAAGCGGCTTTCTCCATGGAGACTTCAAGGCAGAAATGGAGATTGGCTCCCTCACAGCCAACCCACCTCCCATAGCAGGTCTTGCTGCAGGCCAGAGGCACTGAAGCTGGAGACCACGTTTTCCCGACTTCCTCACAGCCTGGGTTCCACATGAGGCCCAGCTTCTACCAATGAGACCAAACTCTCTGGGAGACAGAGCTGAGGCCCAGAGACGCTTCTGCTGGCAAACACAGTAACAGAGGCGTGTGGTGTTTCTGCAGGAGTGGCCAGCCCCTAGCTTCCTGGAGGTCCAGGAGCTGTGTGAGGGTCACCACGTGTTAGCGTGGGTCACAGCGGAGGCGACGTGGTTCTGTTGCCCACAGGTGGGGCCCTGGCTTTCTGATCATCGAAGGGTAGCAACTCCCTCGGTGGGCTGGTTCTGTAATGTCGTTCTGATATTTATTCCTGGAAGCTTTGCCTACACCTTTCTCCTCCAGCCCTTCCAACAATTTTGCAAACAGTGAACTCCCCACTAAACTAGCTAGAAGGGACTCAGTTATCTGCAACTAAACCGACCACGATACCTCTGCGGCCCTTCACCCGAGGCGGAGTTGGTAATTCCATCCTGGATGTTACCAAGACACTTTCTGCAGATCCTCAATAAAACTTTTACTACCTCGATTACAATGATTAGTTTCCACGTCTTTGTGGCCTTCCAAGGAATATTATATTCGTAACACGTTGCCCAGCTCTGACTATACGCTCAGGAAATATTTGTTGAATTCATTTGAATGAAGAAATGAGGTGTGAGGATTCTTTTTCTGAATTGCTGCACGGCTGACGTTCCACCTCACAGCTCAAGCCGTAAGTCTCAGAGTCGTGTTGTTCAAGATCTGGTATTATTCTCGAGGTGAAAGGCGTTAGCTCACGTGGGCAGGCCAGATTCCAATTTAAAACATGAAGCAGACTAGGAGATTGTAAATGCAATGGCTAATGCATTATTTAGAGAGCAAAGAGAGACTTAAGTAAAGAGAAAATGTATTACTTACAACTTACTAAGATGGAAATACTTTCAGTGACAGATGATTATTATTATTAGTGTATAATTCCTTGGATTTTAGGCAAGTGCTTTGCAATCACATGCATTACGTTTTCCTTTAGACAACTGTAGGTGGTGAGTTGGATGGCTCCCTGACTTTCGTAAGGAAACTGAGTCCTGCATACAATGGTCCTAAAATAAAGATTTAATGAACGCTGTTTAGGCATATCCAAAGGAACTAGAGGTTACTTCATAAGTGTCTTGACAACTGAGAATTTTTTTAGTGGCCATGTTTATTCTCACTAATTATTGTTTACAGTACAAGCTGAATGTTTCATGATCACAGTAATTTTTGCTTCTCATACAAAGAACATCAGGTTCACACTGATTTTACAGCTGAAGAAAGTGAGACATGAAGAAGCCAACCAGGTAATCCAGAGCCACACAGGGAGAGAACGCCTGGCTTCCTCTATCCGTCGTGTATCTTTGAGGACCTACTGTGTCCCTGGCGCCTGTGCCAGCTCCCGAGCAGGCCGTCTGCAGCGTGGTGGGTACCGCCAGGTGGCGTTAGAAGTTCCTTCCTCAGCACGTGGCCAGTGTGCATCATCCCTGTCCCTTCCTACGCACTGGGCTCCCGGAAGTCATTGGCCACAGATGGCCCGTGTCCTGTGGAAGAGGGCGAGAGATGCTTCAGCTGTCAACATTTAACATCCAACTCTCATCCTTCTGACTGGAATCTTTATTTGGCTGGTTGTTGCTGACCCTCCTCTCACAATCCCAAATTCCTAAGTTTGCCACATAATAATGAATGTGTGACACCATAAAAAACAGTTTAACTGGACCCTGTCAACCCTTGACCTTGCATCTCTTCTGCCTAGTCAGTCTAAGGAGAAGCACAAAAATAAAATGAGACTCCCTCGTTGCCCAGCAGAGACTTCACGTCACAGGCTGTAAAATGCGGCCGAGGATCCCAGACACAGAAGAGCCCTGAGAGTCGGCTAGGAGAGACAAGCAAGCCTACAAAGAGCCCAGACTCAAGGCTGAACACGGCGAGTGCTTGGGGGGTGCACTGCCAAGGCAGCCTGACTCTGGACTTGGGTGTAGACGGGTCAGGGCAGGTCTCAAAGGATGGGAGAATGTAAGAGGCCAAGCAGAGAAGGGCATCGGCTTCCCGGACAAAGAAGAGGACACGGGTCTGCGCGGAGACAGGAAACCTGCAAATACAGATGATTCGGAGGCAGGGGGAGGACGGTGTGTGGTTAATAGTAATTAAAGGAGAGGGTTGTAGGTTAATAACAATAACAGCTAATATTAGTCAGTGCATAGCAAGTGCCAGATACTGGCTGAAGTGTTTTTATTCTATCCCATTTAATCCTCAAGGTATGAGAAAACAGAACCTTAAATGAATTTAGTAACTTGCCCTGGGAATGTCAGACCAGACAAGAAGAGGGTGCTTAGGCACTCCAGGGACTCACACAAGTGGGTATTTAACTAGAACTGGCCCAGACGAAGCACTATGCGGGGTGAACTAGGAAAACTCAAGTCATCAGCCTTCCTCGAGAGGGGAGGGCCAAGACTCACTGAGCACACAGGAGCAAGGCTGGTCGCTTTGCCTACGTTTATCTCATTTTCCTGTCACATCAGTTAAGATGGGCATTATCCCCATTTTACAGATGAGAAAACTGAGGCTCTCAGAGAATAAGGACTAGCTGTGGCTGGTGAAGTGGCAGCTCTGATCTCAAACCCAGCTCTGCATCCACAGTGCTGCTTGCTCCACCAATGAAGAGTGGAGATTACAAGTAAATCTCTGTGCAATTTCTTTTAATTCTTCATCGCTTACATTGTTATTACTATTTAAAGTGTGTGCACTGTTGAAGAAAATTCAGAATGTGTAAATGCAGATTTTGACATTTTAGACTCAAGAAACAGGCAGCCTTGTGTTAGTTCCACTATATATTAAATTATAATCTATGTAGACAGCAGTTTTGAAAGGTATCCAGGCAAATAAGTTGTATTTCTGGCTGCAGTCAGACAGGTAGATGAAACCTTGATGACTTAATTCCCCACCTATTAAAGGTAGAAGCAGACCAAGACCCTGAGCTGCTGAGAGGCTGCCAGGAAATTTATGAAGAGCAGCGAAGTGCAGGGCCATAATTTCAACAGGTTCTCCTGCTCCTCTGGCTAATTGTTTTCCCAGGTGTCTCGGCTCAGAACCATTCAGCGTTCTTATCACCAGGGAGAGGTGCCTACTTCCGAGGACGCTCTCCAGCCTGCAGCCACCTCTGTCCTGCAGTCACAGCCACCCGTGGGGGAGATTTAAGAGCTGCCGCACGCGCTGCGCTGTCTTGATCTGCAGAGAGAGCTGTGGTGTCGCCCTTTGATTTACGGAGAGTGCGGCTCAAACCCAGCCCCCTTCTTTATTAAAGCAGCTTTTAGTCATATTATCCCTCCCGAGTTCCAGGTCCCAATACCGCCACCACCCAGGGGTCAAATCCCTCTGATAAGCAGCGTTCCGGCCGATTGGAAAGGGCCTCTGCCTTGCCCGCTCCTGCCATCCTGCTTCCCCACCCCCTAGGTGTGAGGTGGAGGCAGGAGGAGGATGGAGACGGAGGCGCAGCCCTGGCTCCAGGTGGCCTTTCAATATCCCTTTTTCTCCTGACCCTCTCTTGACCTTCTCCGTGTGACGGTGTTTGGCCTGGGGCTGTGCCTCTTCGCGGTGATTTTTCCCACCCAGGCTTTCAAGGGGAAGCCTCAGAGAGGTGCGGCCACACTGCTTTGGACCCCGCTTTCAAGGGCTCCCGCTCTCTGGGCTGTGTCCTGCAGAATCGGGAGACAGGATGCAGGCCCCCAGTGGAGAACACCGGAGAGCAGCGGGCACATGAGTACCTGCAGGTGAACCGACTGGCTTGTGGGCGTCCGGTGTATGAAACTGGGCTCTTCCCAGAGCATGGAGCTCTGCCTCTACAGATGTATCACCCAACACACAAACCAGGCCTGTGCCACGTAAGGCGGGGGGTGCGGAAACTTGAACATTCCTGGCTGCAGGGGCCAGCCACGCTCTGTCGAGAAGCAGTGATGTCCTTCCCAGGGACCCGGCATCAGGACACCTCCATCCTTCCTTAGCCGTGTCCCCAGCTCCCTCTGGGCTTGCACCAAAACTTGACTGCTCTCTGCCACTCGGATCCTACACCATCACCCCGGTCCAGCGAGCTCCTCGGAGTGGGGTTGATAAAGAGAGTCGTCTGGGGTCAAGATTGGGGTGTGATAGAGGCAGAGGTACCCTCCTCCCTCCCCCATTCTCCATGGGGGGATAAGCCACCCTGGAGTCGGGACTGTGGTGGATGGATTACGAGTGGCTCTTGGGTTAACAAGCTGGGTGACCCAGCTAGTTACGGACCATCTCTTAGTTTCAGCTCCCCGTCTCTGAAGTGGTGACGATCACGCTGACCTCACAGGGGGCTGTGAAGATGACCGGAAAGAACACACGTGAAGCGTTTATTGTATCAGCCCATGGAAGCCCAACGCTGCTGCCTGTTCTCAGCCCCAGTTTTCACAAAGCATCTGACTTCAGTTGGTACTTACATAGCACCCAATCACCATGAGAAAGCATTTCCGTCCCAATTCTCTGCTTCTTACAAGAAGAAAGCCTTGGTCAGGTGCTGGCCTGTCTTCAGTGCCCCCCTGCGACTTGCTGTCCTCTTTCAATAACAGACAGCAGGCCTCAGACTTCTGCAGGCTCCGGCTTGAGTTTAATCACTTTGTTTTGCTTTTATTCTGTTAGTTGTATAATTGTCTTCTATTTAATACAAAATGATCCTGGCTTCCTTCCACTTTACGGTAGTAAAGCACGTTTTCATTAAAAATAAAATTATTTAGGTAAAAATTAAGTAAATCATAGTACAAATGGATACAGGAACAATCACAGTGTGGTAAAAAAATGAAGTTTAGAAACACTGTGCTAAGCCAGTGGAGAGGGCCCTGGGGCCTCGGAGTCTTCCAGAAGGGAGGCCAACTGGAAACAAGCTGTCCGCTGACTCCAGGGGAACCTCTGAGGAACCACGTGAGGCCAGAATGTTCGGAGACAGAGACTGTGCTGACAGGTGGGTGTCCCCAGCGGGGGACCATGCCTGGCCCAGCCCCTCCTTGTCCTGAGCTGGAGTTCTGCCACCTGCCCCTCGGTCCTTTTCCTGCAGTGGTGACTGCAGGGCAGGTGGTGGATTCTCCTGCTAGAACTAGAGACAAACCCAACTGCACCCACGCATGAAGAGCAAGCAGAAGCTTTTCTTTTCCCCAAACCTTGGAATTACATCAGCACGAGAGCAGGCCTCAGTCTCTGCCTCCCTCGTCACAGGGCTGCTTACCTCTGTATCTTGGTGTCCAAACCTCCCTGTTCTTATAAGGATGCCATCACTGGATCAGGGCCACCCTAATCCAGCATGACCTCGTTTTAACTTGATTACATCTGCAAAGACCCTATTTCCAAGTAAGTTCCCATTCGCAGGTCCCAGGGGTTAGGACTTGAACGTGTCTTTTGAGGAGGTGCAATTCAGCCCACGACACTGTCCAGTGTCCAGA